ACTTCAACTTACAGGGCTAAAGCTACTTAACACCCCCTCAGATATTCTCTCAACATACCGGTGCACCCTGGGATGTTTTTATTTTACAGTAACAGCAGCTCCCATGTTTGCCATAAAGCTGCTTTTTCTTTACTATCTGCCCAATACAGTACCAGCAGGTAACTTAATGTGGTTAAACTGATATCTTTGTCTGTGTGTCACCCAGTAACACAGCATTGTATGGCTTTACAATTCCAGTTACATGATAACTAAGTGTAACAGCATGAAGACTCATATATTAGAGGATAAATCAGCTCACTCTGGTCATCTATGCCGTCTCGCAGCGGCACATTCAGACAGTAGTAGCGGCCGCTCTCAGCTCCCACCTCATACATGTCACCTTTACATCAACACAACACAAACACCTGTTACTACAGCAGAACAATACAAGCGTGCTTTCATTGGCATGTACTAGGAACAGCTAAAACTCTATAAATGACTGTATAAGAACAACATACCAGTTCCTGGGAAAAAGTAGTTCCCGTATTTGTGGAAGGATACGGTCATGACTCTGTCTGTGAGATAAAATGCTTCCTGAACGCCATCACCGTGATGAATATCAATGTCAATGTAGAGCACGCGTGGATGATACCTATCAGACAGAAATAAGTTGCAGCTGACGTGTCCTGCTAATTATATGTAGCTATGGAAGCAGCTTTTAGAAGGTCATATTTAAAGTGTGTCATCACCACACAAAAAAAATAGCAAAAATACGATCCCTGTTGTCGAACAAGTTTCATGCTAAACATGCCCCCAAACTCGTGCCATTGGTTGAGGAAATGTTATTAAGTCTACCCTATTCTCTATAAAACAAACCAGTAGCAGCTGCATTTGATACTCATAGTACTGCAGAAATGACACACTTCCCGTTTAATTGAGAGTATTTTTATTCATCCATTTGCAGCACACCCACTATACTACTTAATTCCAAATCAGCTAAAAAGTCATTTACAAGGGTAAGTTCCCACATATACATTCATAAATGTTATTTCCATGTCACTTTGAATGATGCATTTTCTAAAAAGAGTGATATAGTCACTTCCTGTCCATCTCTCACTTACTTCAAAAGTTCAAGAATACTGATGACGATATCATTCACGTAGCAAAATCCAGACGCCTGAAAACAGAAAAACAAGTAATATAGAAGCTTTATAGGCACCTGACGTGCTTCATCTTTGTATTAATCTGAATTTTTTTTTTAAAAAGGCTTACCTCAAACTTTTTTGCGTGATGTAAACCTCCAGCCCAGTTTATGGCAATGTCACATAACTGTGCAATGAACAAATGAATCATCAAAAACAATTCATGAATTAATTCAGAGTTCAAAACATTTCCTATGTTTCAAGCTTACAAATCTTATTTTTTAAAGTTAAAAATAGTCTTTCAGTGCCTACATTTCACATACCAAATGCATTATTTTCAGGAAGCAAAAATTAATTGTCAGGTTCAAAATCGTGTGCTTTATGATTTTGTGCAAAGCATCTGCAACATCTCCAGCATCTGACCTTGTGATTTAACTGAGTCGCTCCTTGCAAAG